GCACGCTTGCACCTCCTCGGCTGGGGGCGGGCCCACCTGGCACGGCGCCGGCGTCGTCGACGGGCCTACCTGGCCCAGCCTTCGACGCCTCGCGGACTCGGTCACCCAAAACGTCGGCGAGAGACCTCCTGGCTGCGGGCCAACCTGGTCGCTGCAGCTGTGAGGCCAACTCGCCGCCGCCCACGAGGTCCACGACCTCCGCCCCCACTGTGTCGCGCCGCTGCTGCTGGAGGCGTCTGGACCGATCGTGCGCCTCCTCGGGCTTGCCCCGCAGGACCCGCGGCTGGTCGATGGCCCTGGAGCGGGCTCTGCCCCCAGATGTCGCCCGAGACAGGCGACGCGGCGGCGTCTTCATGATTCTTGGCCGCAGCCGCGGGCTGCGGCTTCGCCCCAAGTCGCGGTCCGAAAAAGTCCGCCGGCCAGATCGCCTCTGGCATGTCGGCCAGCTGGGACGCGAAGGTCCCCCGCATCTCGCCCAGGCCGACAGCGCTCGCATCCGCGATGCGCGCGAGCTCGGCGAAGCCACGCGGGGGAGCGATGCCGCAGTGGTCGCCGCTGCACACGTAGTTGAAAGGCCTCTCTGAGATGGCACCGCGCCCCCCCGCGAAGGTTGCCAACCAGTCCCAGCACAGACCGTCTGAGAAGAAAACGCGCGGCCTCGCGAAGACCTCTGGACCCAGGGAGTTGGCTCGCTCCGCGATCCACGCGAAGCTGCATGGCACCGAGACATTATTGTCGCACCCGGTCGATGAGTACACGCAGCCAGGCTCGATCTGGAGCAGAGGCCCGGCTACGCACAGCTCCTCCTCGCCAGCGGGCTCCTCTCCCTCTGGAATGTAGACCTCGTCCAGCGCGCCGTCGCTGCGCTCCTTGTCCGCCATCGGCAGCCCTGCGCCGACTCGGCGCCGTGACGGGAGGAGGAGGAGGAGGAGGAGGAGGAGGAGGAGGAGGAATGTAGACCTCGTCCAGCGCGCCGTCGCTGCGCTCCTTCTCCGCCATCGGCAGCCCTGCGCCGACTCGGCGCCGCGGCAGGCGCCAGCCGCTGGGGCGGGCCCGGGCGAGGAGGGATGGTCGAGTCCGCGCTCCCCACCGCAGGCCCTCAGGCTTCGGGGGGGGGAACCGTTCTGCGGGAGGCTCGTGCTGCGACGATTCCGACAGCTGGCCTCTGACGCCGCGCGGATCCTCCGGCCTGGAGCGCCGCCGCGGCTCTCCGACGGCGCCCCGCTCGCCCCCGCGGAGGGGAGGAGGAGGAGGAGGAGGAGGTGGAGGACGAGGAGGAGGACGAGGAGAAAAAGAGGCCTCGATGGGAACACCAAAGAACTGAGGTGTCGTTTCCCCCGAGACCTCTCGGCACAGGAAGGGGATCCAGATATGTATACATAACGCATATGTATGTCTATGCATACAACTATATCTACACATGCAACAAGTAGCACATATATATATATATATACAGCGTCACAAAATCGTAGATCTCCTATGAATAGGTCGGTGGATGTCATTGAAGGGATGGTCCTTCGTTGAATTCGGCGAGTTGTTCAGTGGCAACCCCACGGTTCTTCATCTTGCAGGTACCAGACCCGTGAAAACCCACCAACGGATCTCTCCCAATCGAAAACACAATGATACAGGATATGGCTATAGGCTGTAGGGCTGTGAGGCTATGTGGCTCTGTGGCTATAGTGCAATAGGGCCATTTGGCTATAGTTATATAGGGCTATGGGGCGATAGGACTATGGAACCATAGGGCCATATGGCTCAGGCATATTGAACTATTGGGCCATAGGCATGTACAGCTAGCTATAGCGCTATGAGGCTGTAAGGCTATGTAGCTACAGGGCATTGAGGCTATACGGCTGCAGGACAATAGCGCGATTGGGCTATAAAACTATAAGGCGACAGGGCTATAGGGCAATTGGGTTGTAGGGCTGTAGGGCTGTTGGGCTATGGGGCTGCAAGGCTATAGGGTTTCAAGGCACCCGGGCACCCGGGCACCCGGGCGGGCCGCGGGAATCGGTGACACACCTCGCCTTACCGTATGAATCCGCTCGGACCCCTACAAAGGCAAGCTCTGATTCGGGAAAGAACTGGAAACACTGTGAGACCACCAAAACAAAAACCACATGTTTTCGGGATCCCACGCGGTGGAGCGCCAGGGATGGCGGGACCCCTGCCGCCGCCTGAGGTCCCGAAAACACTTGATTCTTAGCTGTTGTGGTATCGCAGGATGTGTGTCTGTGTGCGTTTCTGTTATGCCACAGGTTTCGTAGCTCAGATGAAGAACAAGGTGGCTGTCATCGCACAGAGCAAACGAATCAAATGTAATAACCCTGGCGACTCCCGCGACACAACCAAATATTCAGGGCGAAGCGCATGAATCTGCGAATGATTTCAATGCGTTCGATTAGAAGCATGCTCCTGTGATTCGATATCGTATTGCTTGCACGTGCATGACTTAATTTGTGTTTCCATTGCGTGGACGTAAGCATGTCTTATGAGTTTCAAATGCCTGAATGTGCTACGGTTCCCCTTGAGTGGATGTCGCACTGTATTCATTACAGAAAATCCGGTCGTTTGTTCAACCATCACGTTCAACTGTTGGGAGTCCATTTTGGTCAGCGTATGGATATAATGCTGCTTTCCATTATATCGGTTCCCCTTTTTTCTGTCTGCGTGGCCCTCTTACTGTTTTCAAGGGCATGGTTCAACTTCGCTTTCCAATGTAAATATCCCTTGTGGCGTGTACATGTACTTCAGTGCGTGCAATACTGCAAGTCGTCTCGTTCTCTCTCCTGTTCCCTCTCTGGGTCTCTCCGTAACCCTCGCGCTGGGTCTCTCCCTCTCTCTCTCTCTCTCTGCATCTCTCTCTCTCTCTCTCTCTTCAGTTCTCTCTCTCTCTCACTCTCCCTCTCCCACTCTCCCCCTAGGAAGGTGAGGGTGGAGGGCGGCGTGGGGTGGAAGGGGGTACGGACGAGGAGGGCGGCGGGGAGGGGGAGGGAGAAGGGAGGCAGGCCTTGAAGACCCAGACCCCTAGATTCTGGAACTTAGAGGCAATGCGATATGAGAGGTTGCTGTAGTGGGTTTGTGGTTCCATGTTAGATTGACCCTTGTCATCCCTTGTTGATATTGTGTCTTATGGGTCCTTTTGCAGAGAGGCAAGCTGAGAGAGAGAGAGAGAGAGAGAAAGAGGAAAAAAAACGGGAGGGAGGGAGAAAGAGAGAATATAGAAGGGTGGTGGAGTATACACAGAGGTTTCCTTACGGTTGCTGATCGCACCCTTGGGAAAGAGGAGAGAGAGACAGAAAGAGAGAGAGAGAGAGAGATGGTTTGTCCTTGCTTCCCAGTGCAGGGAAGATGAGGAAGGAGAGAGAATGGTGGACGAGGATGGGGTGGAGTCAGCTTGAGGTGGTGAAAGACGCTTGCTCCCTCGCCCGTTACTTCTCTCAGTCTCTCCGCTCTCGCTCTGTCTCTCTCTCTCTCTCTGTATCTTTCTCTTCCTCTTTGTCTCCTTTTCCTGATGGGGTCCGCGGGGGGGCTAGCATACATATATATATATATATAAATATAAGAATGTATATATATATATATATATATGTATCCGCCACCGTGCCGCTGAGCACGGAATGGGCGTGTCATCAGGTCCTCTCAATGCCCCTTCTGAGCCTCAGACCTCACTCCTGAGGAGTTTTAAAGGGGTCCAGAGCCTCTCGGGCCAAATCTATCTGGGGCTTCCTGGGGTTCCCCTGGGGTCCCTGGCATCTTGTCGCCCCTGGGCCTCAACGCGGGCCAAGAGGGCCCCGAGAAGCCCCCAAGACGGTCCACGAAGACCCCGAGTCGCCGAACGATCGCGAGGGCCCTAAGAAAGCCCAACAGACGCCCAAAATGTCCCAAGAGGGCCCCAAGACGGCTCCAAAAGGGGCCCCAAAAGAGGAACACGAAACGAAAATCCGAGCCCCCCCGCCCCGAGAGGCCCTCAGGAGGCCCCAAGAGGCGCCCAAGAGGCCCCAAACCGATCCCAAAGAGGCGTCCAAACTGCCTCCAAGACCAACGAACATTCAGTAGGCTTTATCCCCACAGCTCAGGCACGGTGGTAGGATGGGCCGAAGGCCATTATATCTGTATGTGTATAAATGTATATATATATATATACACAGACACAGGTGTATGTATGTATATGTGTGTCTGTCTGTTTGTTTGTCTGTCTGTCTGTATGCATGCATGTATGTATGTATGAGTGTACTATGAATGTATAACGGTATATGTGTGTATCGGTGTATGTAGGTATGCATGCAGCTATGCATGTATGCATGCATGCATGCATGTATTTATATATGTGTATGCATATATGTGTGGATGTGTGTATGTATGTACATATGCATGCATGTATGCACGTACGTATGCATGTTTGTATGTAGGTGTGCATGTATGTGCGTTTATGTATGTATGTATGCATGCATGTATGTATGCATGCATGTATGAATCCCCGTACGCACATACCTATATAACTACCTGCCGACCAACCTACCAACCTACAGGCAGACAGGCAGACAGGCAGACATACAGACAGGCAGACAAACACGTATGTATACATGAATGCATGCATACATACGTATATACATACATACAAATACACACAACTACACACATACATACATACATACATGTATGCATGCATGCATACATACATACATGCATGCATGCATGCATGCATGCATACATGCATACATGCATACATGCATACGTATATACAGACATCCATATATACATACATCCAGACATACATACATACACACATACATACAGACATCCATACATGCATACATACATACAGAGAGACAGACCCACAGACGTCGATCTCGGGTCCATGGGCAGGCCTTGTAAAGATCGGAGCTGGTGCACACGTGGCGCCTCCCAGAGGGACACGGCGCTGGAGCAGGACGAGGAATCGTGCCCACCGCGCGCGCTGGAGCGCACGTCATGCGAGCCCGACACTCAGCGGCTCAGAGCTCCGGCTTCGTCTGCCTTCCCTTGCCCGCGGCTGGAGGAGCCGGTTCTCGGCCCTTGCCAGCGGCTGGTGCCAGGGGTGTCTCTGGGCCCTTGCCCCCCTCTGACACCGTCTCGCTCGCGAACACGATGTCCGCGGCAATGGCGGCGTGATCCGAGGGGAACTGCAGAGTGGGAAATACCGTGTCCTCCAGGTACTTTCCCTCGCCCGTGTTGTCGCGCCACACGCGGCCGCAGCTGAAGTGCTCGGTGAATAAGATGAAGTCCTTTGGGTTGCGGTCGCCCTTCTTCACCAGCTCCCCGCTCTTTGCCGCCTTGTTCAGCTGAGGCTGCAGGTACGTCCTCGCATTGAACGTGGTGTAGAGCTTTGGATTCGCCTTGCCCCAGGAAGCTTGAAAACCGAGCTTCCTGTACGTCTGTTCGAACTTTAAGACATGCGCTGTCTTCTTCGACTCCTTCTCGTAGGTATTAGCATCCATGCCAAACAGCAATGGCTTGCCGCGAAAGTGCTCCGCCACCTTTGTCAACATCGGCATGGTGAGCAAGCCATTTGTGTCGCCGTGAAATGAAGCCAACGCCACCTCGGAGCCAGAAGCGGCGAGCTTGGACACAACGCCCAACAAATCGCCGGACTCCCAACCGTCCGCTGGGACGCTCACTTCCTGCGGCGAGGAGAGCACCGTCTTTCGCAACAGCATCACAGAATTTTGGTTCCGCTTGGCGTCGTAAACCGTTGGCACTACTACATGGTGCGACGGGAACCCGTCCTTAAGCTGACCGACGAGCTGATTACCGGCCTCCTGGAGAAAGATCCGCCACCGTGCCGCTGGGCCACGGCGTGGGCGTGCCCTCAGGTCCTTTGCCTACTTGCCTCGGTCCTCCATCCTTAGGGGGAAAACAAACCTACCTCGCTTTTGACCACCCTCGCTTCCAAGAGATACCAAACGATGCCAAATTGCAGCCTGTACTGGTCAGGCCGCTTGACGAGGAGGCGCGTGGTATGGCTTGGTTTTGCCTGGAAGCGAAAGCGGGGTAGGTAATTCACGCTCTGTTGAGTCTTAGCCCGGACCCCAAGTTGCGAATTCTTGGGCCTGGCGCGCCTTGGCGGGGGCTTGCCGCAGCTCGTCGCGTCCCCTTTCCGGGCCCCAGAGGCCACACCAGGGCTGAACCTGAGCGATGCTGTTGGCTTTCGTGCTGTGTTCGCTTTCCCTTGCTGTGTCTTCAGCCCACCCCTGCCGCAACACGAGGCGGGAACGAAAAAACGGCCCACGAAATCGCCAAAACACCGTTTGGGCCCAGCCCTGGGGCACCCAGCTGGGCCCAAGAGGGCCCCGAGAGGCCCGCGGGGAGACGCGACGGGGCCCGAGGGGGCCCCGAATCGTGCAGAGAGCATTCCGAGGACGCCCGAGAGGGCCTCGGCACGGGCCCAGAGGCCCCCCGAAGAGGCCCCCCCTGCGGCCGGGGAGGGGGCATCCCGCGAGGGCCCCGGGAGGCAAGAGACGCTGGGAGGCCCTCTCGCCCTGTCCGCTCCCCGACGCGGCAAGACGGCCCGCCCCCGAGATCGCTGCAAGACGGCCCTGGAGGCCCCCCAACAGGGCCCCAGGGCGGCCCCAGAAGGTCCCCAAGAGGGCCCCAGGACAGCCCAAGAGGACCACAAGGCGGCCCAAGAGGTCCCCAGGACGGCCCGAGACGAACCTCTAAAGACGGCCCAAGAGGGCCCAAGACGGCCCCCAAGAGGGGGCCCAGACGGGGCACCCAAGTGGACATTTCGAGACCTCGGCCTCGAGGCCCCCAGGATCGGGCCCAAGAGGCCCCGGGGAGGCCCCCAGAAGGCTCCAGAAGAAGGAGGAACGCTATAACACACAAACTTTTGGAGATCCGCGCGGATGTCTTGGATCCGCGCTGGGCCCCCCCCCGCGGCGCGGAGCGAGAGTTTATGCTTCTGCAGTGCTGTTCTCCGTCGAGGCTCCCGAGATCGCCCCAGGACGCCCCCAGGAGGCTCCCACGAGGCCCCCCGAGAGCGCTCCGAAGAGGCCCGAAGAAACATCCCGGAAAAACTCTGAACCAAAAAACCCAGGCATGGCGGTGGCATGGCCCGAAGGCCACAGGATAACGTCCGCTGAAGCGTATGTGGTCTTGAGGATTTCGAGGAGTCGGTCGTTTTTGCGGCTGTTCAGGCTAGTACAGATCTCCGAGCGAAGCGCCTGCCAATTGCTGCCGCCTCTCTTCGACATGAGGTCCACCAGCACGGTGTCAAATATCGCCTGCACGAGCAGCTGCAGGGGCTTGGACAACTTCTCTTCCTGGGCTGTGACATCTGGATACTTCCTGCTCTTGATGGTCGGCAGCAGGGTGTACACCGGCTTGTCGCCCTTGCTGTCGAGCTTTACTCTGGTCTCGAAGAAAAACACCAGCCACCGCTTCCACCAATCGTCGAGGCTGGACCACGCCTCGGCGTAGCAATTGCTCACCGCTGGTCGAAACTCATAACCCCCATCTTCCAGCTGTATGGTGTTAGTGACCCGGTCGGGCATGCTTGCAAGCCGTTTCTTGCCAATCAACGCGTCGGTCAGGAATTCGGATACGACGCGGCGGCGGCGGTAGTCGTTCTCCCACATCTTTTCCAGCTCTAGGAGCTCGTCCGCCGATGACATTTTAAACTCCCGCATGTGATTGCGCAGCTGCTGGAACATCTTTGGCGTGAAAAGCTCGTCGATCTGAACATCGTCGGGGCCGGGGTCTACAATGAACTTCTCCACGTCCACCATCAGCTGCTTGTACGCGGGGTTCGGATGCGTGATCCAATACTCGAACGGGTTGTTGTTCACAGCGGCCACGTTCCAGCTGACCGTCCTGAGGCGAGTGCCTCCAGGCCCCGCTGGCGACCCCTGGAAGACGCTGCCCTCCGTCAGCTGCGAGCCGCCTGCCGCTCCCAGGCCTGCCCACGCCAGCAGGCACGCCGGCCACCGTGGAGGCCCCACGCCTCCCGCCATGGCCCCTGCTCCTCGGGCCCTGCTGGAGCCAAAATGGCTACGGGCACCCGCTGGCCACTGCGCGTGCGCCGCGGGAGCATGCGCTGGTGAAGGGGGGCAGCGGCCGGGGGGGTGTTAGGAGGCAACTGCTGGGAGGCTTTCGTCGGAAAGGTCAGGGAGGATGAAGCCCCATTCGGGAGCTATGACGCCAGAGTGGGCCTCGGATTAAGCGGGATCAAGCGGGATTGAGCCGGACTTCTGGCTTGATTTAGGGCGGGGTTTTCGGACTCAACCGACTCAACCTGTTTTTGCATCATCGTCATCATCATCGTCATCATCGTCGTCATGATATTCATCATCGTCCGCGTCATCGCCATCATCATCACCATCTCCTCATCATCGCCATCATCATAATAATTACCCATCATCATCTCCTCGTCATCGCCATCATCATGTAGTGATGATGATGATTAAAATTTGTAACAGGGGATGCGTCGACCCCTATCCCAGGCTCCGTGAGGTTTTCGAGAGGATCAACAATTTGGGGCCCAACCCTGGGATATACGAGGGGGGGGCGTCCATCCTCGACAGGGGTGCGTCCGAATAGCCCCCTCGGGATGTATCCCAAGATTCCTCCCCTTTTCTGAGCGACCAAACTTTTCTGGCGGAAGTCGGGGATTGGGGGAGAGAAATCGCCTGCGAATTTGACCTCCCAGGAGTTGCATGCCAAGGGATGGGTGGGAGAGAGGCAGAGGATCGGAGGGGAGCAGGACGCTGCGGCCGACGCGCTGCCACGAGGCACCCCCTGCGCAGGGGAGGGCTGCCCACGTGGAGGGGGCCCCGCCCGCGCCCGGCCCCGCGGAGAGATGCAAAGAAACACCCCTCGGCGGCGGGCGCGGGGGGGAAATGGAGAAGGGGCGGGACTTCCGAGGCTTCGGAGAAGTTTCCGGACTTCTGAGAGGGCTTCTGAGAAGTTCAGTCTGCATTCGAAACAGGCTAAGGAGACCTCTCAGAAGTCCCCCGGACTTCTAAGAAGCCCCGCGGCCTTCTGAGAAGGCCCGCTCCTTCTCGTTTCCACCCTGGGCCCGCCGCCACCACCCCGGAAGCGAGTCCACTCCAAAACCCACGCGGCCCGTCGCATCGCCCTCCACAAAAAAGAGTTCCGTCCCCCCCGTCAGGGGGCAACTACTGGGAGGTCTTCGTCGGAACAATTAAGGAGGGTTAAGCTGCATTTGGGAGCTCTTGCGCCGGAGTGGGCTCCGACCACGCAGGATTAGGCCGGATTAAGAGCGGGATCAAGCGCGAGTAAGCCGGAGGAGGTGGGATTAAGCCGGATTAAGCCGGATTTCGGACCAGGGCAGAATCAGAATTTGACCTCCCAGGAGCTGCATCCGAACCCCCGGGACCACGCCGCGGCCACCCTGGGCAGGCAAACGTCCGCCCAAGGCCTCCGGGGGACGTCGGGGGCAGTCGAGGCGGAAGGCGCATCGAATCGGGGCGCATCGCACGGAGTCACCATCGAATCGGATCCGCCTCGCCAGGATTCCCAACAACGCGAAGAGAACCTGGAGCCGTATCGGGCCGTCGGATATCTGTATCGGATCGTGTCGAGGCGGCTTGGACCGGCATCGACCCCGATCGGCATGGGCCGTGGGCGCTCCCAGGGCCTCCTGCAACAGTACAGGCACACTGTTGACGGCCCGCGCGGATTTCTGGGATCTGCGCTGGAGCCCCTTCCCTGGCGCGCGGAGCGCGCCAGGGGCGGTGCCGGAAGCGCCGGCGGGGGGGCGGCCCAGCGCAGATCCAAGAAATCCGCGCGGAGCACAAGGGGGCTACAAGCGAGCCCTACCCCTACCCCCACGATTTCTGAGGGGGAGGGTGGGGTTCACTTCGCTTGGGAGCTCCCGAACGAGGTGAACCCCACCCTCCCCCTCAGAAATCGTGGGGGGTAGCGGAGCACCAAAAGCTTGTCATGCAGTGTTTTCTGCTTCGATGCTGGGGATCCCCGCAGGCGCCCCCCAGGGGACCTGCAGGTGCCTCCAGGACAGTGTTTAATACATGGGATGTTTGAACATATAGAATTTTAACACATGATTATATTAATGATTGAATGAATGTATGCATGAACTCATCGTTGTTTTTCATACTACATCCCTACATGTTTATTACATGATCCGCACGGAGAGCATGTATCAAAAACGGCACTGTCCCGAGTCGGGAGGGACGATAGATGGGGCTCTGGGCCAAGTGGGACTGGCCGAGAGAACTGCCGTGGACTCGCTCGTGGAAAGCTGGCCGCCGCGTGCCTGAGCATCCTGAGCTACGCAGTGTGCAGTCCGTTCTCCGCCCGAACACTCGCGTCGCGTACTCCCGGGGATCTCCCGGGGTTTCTGGGGGCCCTCTTAGGGCCCTTGTAAAAAGATAGTGGGGCACTATCTTGCCGTCGCCCGGACGTCCATTTCCCGTGCATTGTTCGGTTTCGTGCGTGTTTTTTTTGCTCGATGGTCCAAGATGGTCCTCGATAGTTCTCGCCGAGGAAAAATGCACACGTCCGAGCGATGCCGAGCTATTGGGCTCTCCAGAAGGATCGTCCCCCGTTGGGGCCTTCGCGGGTCTCTCTTGGAGCCCGCCGAACAGCCTTGGAGGGGCTCGTAGAGCCACCTGGGACACATTGCGCACCGATCCCCGCGGGGCCGTTGGGGCCTGAAGAATGGCCCTACGGCAACGCGCGCGCTGGATCCCCTCCCGACGGCAGAATTTGTCGTTCTCGACGGTCGAACCGCGTTGCTGTCGATAGACACTGAGATCTCGACGGGTCGGTGGGCGTGGTTTCCCATGTTTTCCTTAGGAAGCAACTACTGGGAGGTTTTCGTCGGAAAGATTTAGGAAGATTAAGTCACATTTGGGAGCTGTTACGCCGGAGCGGGCCTCGGACTAAGCAGGATTGAGCCGGATAAAGCGGGACTAAGCAGGATTGAGCCGGATCCAGCGGGATTGAGCCGGAGTAGGAAGGATTTAGCCGGGCTTCGGCCGAGCGCAAACTCAGAATTTCTGACCTCCCAGGAGCTGCATCCGATTGTTTCCCCACACGCGGGGGCCCCACCGCAGCGCCGCTGTTGCAGGGCGGGGCCCAGAGCCGGACGGTGGGGGGCGCCCGGCGGAAGCGCGCCCCGCGGGAGCCCCCCCCAGGGAGGCCCCGCCGAGGCCCTGCGGGGGCCCCGGCGGGGGCGCTGGCCGCCCACGGGCCGCAGCAGCAGGCGCCCCCCCTCGGCGGCGCAGGAAGAACATTTGGACGCCCGAAATGGGTACGGAAAGAGTGGGTACAATGCCCCTGTAGGGGGACAGGCCCGACCTAACCCAAGGTGATCGTTTTGAATGCAGCGTTTTGCCGATCGGCGCGGGCCCTCGCAACCCCTCCTCCCCCCCCCCCGTTTTTCGGCACGAGCGAAATGGGGACGGAAAGAATGGGTACGATGCCCAACAACCGTTTCTGCTCCTTTTGAACAGGACTCGCTGTCCGCGCCGCCGCGGTCCGTGCCCACTCGAGACAGAAGGCCGCCTGCCCAACAGCGGCCGCTGTTGGTTTTGGGACAAGCTTTGTTGTTGGGCATTGTACCCATCTTTTCCGTACCCATCTCGGGCGTCCAAAACAATCGAAGCCGAGCTCACCCGGAAGGAGGCCCGCAGAACTCACGCCTTCGCCCAGAGAGCACGGCTGGCCTCGTCACAGTGTTCTCTTCTGACGCGCGCTGCACTGCTGCCGCCCTCTGCGCCATGCTATTGGGGGTGCGATGCGCTCGGCCCGTGCCAGACTGCAGCGCATGACATATACACTCGAAGACCAATTTCTGGTCCCTGGGATGTGCGCCTCCCGCAAATCCAGAAAATGCCACCCCGACCAAAACCATCGGAAGTGATTGCACATTCGGTGCCGATTCGTTGATTTTTGCGCCGCAGATCCCCCCCCACACTTTCGCTATGTCAGTCTACGCGTCCTCATTTCCGCGCTTCCACGCTCGTTTTTTTTGTCAAAATGCTGCTCTCGCTGAAACGCTGGCCTCATTTTCGGGCTACTGTTCGTTCTGGATCGTGCTCCCGCTGCAGCGCTGGCCTCATTTCCGCGCTTCCGGTCGTTCCGAATCGTGCTCCCGCTGCAGCGCTGGCGTCATTGCTTCCAGTGCCATGCCACGGCATGGTTTTCGGTCCTGCCAAACAGGCCCAAAAATTTAAAAGAATGGTCTCCCGATGAAATTACCCCAGTGCGACCCTACCTAGAAGTTGGAGACCCTAGGAAAGCAGCATTAGTTGCTATGCTATGCGATGCCATGCTATGCCATGCTATGATGCGCTATGTTATGCTATGGTATGATAGACTATGATATGGTATGATAGGATGCGCTATGCTATGATATGATATGCGATGATATAATATGATATGTTATGACATGCTAAGCTGTGCTATGTCATGCTGCGCTGTGCTACGCTATGCTATGCTATGCTATGCTAAGATGCGCTATGCTATGCTATGCTATGATCTGATATGATAGACTGCGATATGTTATGCTATGCTATGCTAGGCTATGATATGATATGCGATGCTGCGCTATGTTATCCTACGCTATGCTATGATATGGTGTGCTCTGCTATGCTAAAGCTCAGCGAAGCTAAGATGAAGGTAAGCTAAGCTAAGATAAACCTGAACTAATATGAAGCTAAGTTAAGCACATATGACAAAAGCTAAGCTAAGATGAGATAAGCAACGCTAAGCTAAGGGGACGTAACTGGGGGAACCGCGGGGCGGATACTGGGGGAACCGCCCGGGGCGAGTTGCACTGCCCAGCCCTTTAAGCATACCGAGAAAGAACCCTTCTAGGCAGAGCCTAGGTAGGGAACTATCAGAAGTGATAATTCATTCGGTGCAGTTTCTTTGATTTGTTGGGCCGCAGAAGCCCCCCCCACACATTTTGGGGCGTCGCCACGCCATGCAATGTCATGCTACGCGGTAATATTCAGCACCATGC